TGGGGGGTGGGGGGTGTGGGTTTTGGGGGGGTGGGGGGGGGGGGGGACACAGAGACTGATACCTGGGGATCCTGTAGCTGTCAAAGCCCAGGAAGTGCGCATGCTGCTCCCCTGTCGCCCAAACAGCCTGATACGCTCGTCCGTTGTACTCCTGATGCCTTCCTGCGCAGTGGGAGGGGGAGTCCCGAACCGCGCCAGCCCCAACTGCTCGGGCAGCGCACGCCGCGCGCCTTGCTCCTCTGTTCCCAATGGCAGCACACACCACTCGAGCAGCTGGAACTGGCGCACTGGGGACTTTATTCCCCTGCTGCCTTCCTGCATGGGGGGGGGAAGAAGGGAAATCCCAGACCGCTCCTCCGTTCCCCACGGCAGCACACACCGCCCAAGTAGCTGGAGCTGGCACAGTCCTGGATCCCTACCCATCCCCCCGTATGCAGGAAGGCAGCAGGGGAACAAAGTCCCCAGAGCGAGATGGACCAGCGTTTTAGGTACTACGCCGGCTATTGTGGAGAGCAGCCCACGCACTTCCTGCAGGAAACCCACGCCACCTCCGTTGACACTGGGAGTTCAGCGCAGTGTTCATCTTGGGGTTTGTGGGCAGCAAGGCGGGCTCTCGCAAAAAATTTTCTGAGGCCCAGTATTTTTTTTCCTAAGGACCGGTACTGAGCCGCGGACTACAGTTTGGGAAACACTGGGCTGGAGCACCCCATACCTTGGTGGGCCCCACAGGGCTAAAGCAGCTGGAACTGGTGTTGAGGCTTATCACTTAACTAGTTAACCATTCACATCCCCATTCCAGACCTGGCTGAGAATGATCTTGACATAGCTCCTTCCCTGAAAGATTTCATATATGAAATGCCTTCTGTTATTAATGCATTGTTTCTTAGCAGGCTCTGCTGCCTGGTTAAAAAATTAGGGGGAAGCAAGACAATTCCTATTCGTGAGGATACTTGCATAAAGCCTAACATGCTCAACTACTGTGCCAGAATGAAAGTGCAGAGAGATGGATGTGAGCTGGCCAGAAATAATATTAATACTTGCTCTAATATATGGCCCCAAAAAGAGTATTTAAGAAAAGCTTTCTTTCAAGCAAAAAAGTTTGCTGCTGCTACTCATTCAGACTGATAGGGAGAGAATATCTGGGGAGCAAAATGAAGCTGCTTAGAAGAGTGACTAGTATGGTAACTGACAAACTGAGCAGCCTTGTAATAAGATCGGGGCTTAAAACATAAGCTACAGGCCTTGTCTGAAGCTTCGACTACAATAGTCAAGACCTTGCTAATATAAAGCAAAGTTAAGCTGTGAGCCAGAGACAGACCCTGCTCATAGAACTTGTTAAGAACAGGGCTAATATTGTAGAAACATACCTAACAGGTACTGTGCACAGGCCATTCCAGAGGGATTGCAACAGAACACCTCATTAAAAAACATCTTGGTACCAGCACACTCCCCACAGATAACAGGGACATAGTGATTCAGAGTAGGGACTAAAATGACAGCATGATGGATAGCAATCTTTTGATTGAACCACCGTGTACAAAGTAATACATTCTTAGCATAACTGTAGACATCTGAGCAAGGCAGCTATTAACTGTGCTTCCTTTACAATACATCTGGCCTGGTGCCTTCGGACCTTATCTCATTTTTTGTGGTCTTTGGGGGCTCTCTCAAGCTCTGCTGTTCCGGGTATCTGCGCAGAGCCAGCACAACATACAGTGAGAATACTTGCACTCAGCTGAACAGTTGCCATCACTGAACAGAGCAAGATAACTATGAGGACACCACACAGGTGACTTCTGACCACAGACATAATGGAGTCATTGTGGAAACATATACATCAAGATAAGGTTGCAGCAAAAGCTGTATAGAAAAGCCTATATTGATATTAACTTATGCAAGACTGAAAGGTTCATGACAAACTTCACTTTTTCACTTTCTGGTTTTTGAGTCTTGCTATATAGTAGTGCATTGTAAGCTTTTTTATTTTATTTTATTTTATTTTATTTATTTTTTTAACTACCAAAAAGATTGTTTGAATTTTGGTCTGATTCAGGTCACTTTCATATGAACCAGTTTTCCTGTTTCTCCATTTAACTATTCTAAGTGCTACAACTCTAAAACAGAACTTTAAAAATGCAAATCCTACAGTTTAGCTTTCACTGAAATAGAAATACATTTTCAAAATATTCAGTTGAACATAATTTATATGACAGTATAACTGAGTGTATTCGCATTTTCTTTATTGCTTTATATCTGTTTAGGCTGAGGAGCATGAGAGATGGGCAGTGCATTTTGATTCTTTAAAGAACCATCCTTGTGCTACTCCACAACATCCCATCATAAATGGAACTTACACCAAGGAGCCTGAAATTCTTTGCCTGTGCCCTGAATCTCAGGCCCTGACTTCTTTTATTCATCCTTTTACATCTGCATCTTTAGGCCACCTAATACATTCAAAGGTGGAGAATGTAGAAAAAACTGTTGAGAACACTACTTTAGAACAAAGTCAAAAAGCCAGGTAAGTGCATGCCTCAATTACAGTAGTTTTCCCAATCAATTTATTTCTGGTATGTCTTTAGAAGTGAGTAAGTCTGAAATGATATTAATTTGGTAATTACTCCTTTCTACAGGAATTTGTATGGTTT